GCTACAAAAAAGGTCGTTAGATGTTTTCTCGTAAAATAACTCCTTCGTGAGATAAATCCAAAAATAATGAGACTGTCTTTTTTGTTTGGAAGATTCTTCTTTAGTAATTGGGGAATTATGGGGTTATTATCTGGGGCAGGAGTGGGTCTAGGGGAAAATATCATAAGACTTTTTTGTGAGGAATTTTCGTAACTAATAAAAATATCTTTTGATATTTTTTCCTCAAATCAGCTGTTCGCGAGATAATTTAAGAAATAGTGGGAAGGTTTTTTCTTGTTTAGAAAATTTTTGTTTAGTAGTTGGGAGATTGAGGAGTAATTATCTGCGATGGGAGTGCATCTAGGGGGAAATATCATATGATAATTTATTTAGCGAATTTCGTGTGCTACAAAAAAGGTCGTTAGATGTTTTCTCGTAAAATAACTCCTTCGTGAGATAAATCCAAAAATAATGAAACTGTTTTTTTTTGTTAGGAAGATTCTTTTTTAATAATTGGGGAATCGTGGGGTAATTATTCAGGGAACGGGTGGGTTTAGGGGAAAATATCATAAGACTTTTTTTGTGGGGAATTTCCTTACCTAAAAGAAATGTATTTTGATATTTTCCCCTAAATTCCCCCGTTCGTCAGGTAAATTCAAAAATAGTGAATGGGTTTTTTTGGGAAATTCAATTCCCTAAAAGAAGTTATTAGACATTTTCTCGTAAAACTACGCCTTCTTTAGACAAATCCAAAAATAATGGAAAGCATTTTCACTTCTTTGCAAAATTTTTGTTCATAAATTGGATAATTACCTCGTCAATGAGCGTTTCTAAGAGGAAATGTCAAAAAATCTTTTTTAAATTCCTTTTAAAAAAATCTCAATGGGACAAAACGATAAAAATCCACGAAAGTCCACAGGATTTCTTTGAAAATTGGTTCACTTATTAGTTTAAATATTTTCCAACACCCGAGAAATTCCGGGGAATCCACCAAACAATAGAATTATCTTATCAGCTGAGTGAAATAATTTTGCCAGTTTTTCCTCGTGCAGTTTTAGTGGCAGAGTCTAACATTGACATTTTCATTTTACAAAGCTGTGACTTTTTTCCTCATCCCCAGCTGAAGCATTATCAAGTATTTTTAATTGAGAGTCTGATGTAACGAAGTCATTTATCCTCTGAAGGTGACATTTATTATTGCATGGGAATAAAAAATGAGAAGTGTTGGGAATAGGAAGAAATGATGAGGCACTCCGTTTTAATTCTCTCGACTACTGATGATTGGAGTGTGGCGGGTTTTTGGGGCGTGTTGTTTACTCTCGGGAGATGTAGAAGTGCACGTAGGCCAGCCGTCAATTTTGACTGATAAAAAATATCCCGGTGTTTCGGGGAGGTGGAGGAGGTTTCAGTGACGTGGAGGTGAAAAATATTTTTTTAATTTTATTGTTTACGAAAAATTATATTGATTTTTTTCCCTACAATCTAATGGGGTTTCTAGATGATTAAAACCATATTAACGAAGATAAGCTGAATTTTATTGAATTTTTCACTTGTCAATTCTCTAATTATTTTGGGAATTAGTGGATTTATGAAAAAATGTCATAGATGTTTTTTGCAGGAAATTTTATTCGCCACAAAAAACTTTTTGTAACATTTTCACATAAATGTTGACATATTCCCCAAAAATATTCATTAAGAAGATAGAAACTATAGTAATGGAAATAAGTTGAATTTTATAGAATCTTTCACTCATAAATTCTCTAATTATTGCGGTAATTAGTGGATTTATGAAAAAATGTCATAGATGTTTTTTGCAGGAAATTTTATTCGCCACAAAAAATTTTTTGTAACATTTTCTCATAAATGTTGACATATTCCCCAAAAATATTCATTAAGAAGATAGAAACTATAGTAATGGAAATAAGTTGAATTTTATAGAATCTTTCACTCATAAATTCTCTAATTATTGCGGTAATTAGTGGATTTATGAGAAAATGTCATAGATGTTTTTTGCAGGAAATTTTATTCGCCACAAAAAATTTTTTGTAACATTTTCTCATAAATGTTGACATATTCCCTAAAAATATTCATTAAGAAGATAGAAACTATATTAATGGAAATAAGTTGAATTTTATAGAATCTTTCACTGATAAATTCTATAATTATTGCGGTAATTAGTGGATTTATGAGAAAATGTCATAAATGTTTTTTGCAGGAAATTTTATTCGCCACAAAAAATTTTCTGTGACATTTTCTCATAAATGCTGACATTATTTCCTAAAACCATTCATAAAGAAGAGAAAAACCATATTAATGAAGTTAAGTTGAATTTTATTGAATTTTTCACTTGTCAATTCTCTAATTATTTTGGGAATTAGTGGATTTATGAGAAAATGTCCCAGATGTTTCTTACAGGAAATTTTATTCTCCACAAAAAAATTTCTGTGACATTTTCTCATAAAGAATGACATTATTCTCGAAAAATTTTCATTAAGAAGATAAAAACCATATTAATGAAGATAAATTGAATTTTATAGAATCTTTCACTCATAAATTCTATAATTATTGCGGTAATTAGTGGATCTATGACACAATCTCATGGATGTTTTTGCGCGAAATTTTATTCACCACAAAAAAATTTTCGTGACATTTTCTCATAAATATTGACATTATTCTCTAAAAATATTCATTAAGAAGATAGAAACTAGTATATTAATGGAGATAAGTTGAATTTTATAGGATCTTTCACTCATAAATTCTATAATGATTTCGGTAATTAGTGATTTTATGAGGAAATTTTACAGATGTTTGTAGGAACATTTGTTCTCTCCAAAAAAGTCTATTGCCATTAACGAGATAAAAATCAAATTAACGGAGATGAATTGAAATTTATTGAATTATTGTCTCGTTAATTATGCAATTATTTCGGTAATGAGTAAATTTGTGAGACAATGTCACAGATGTTTTTTGTCGGAAATATTATTCTCTACAAAAAATTATCTTGACCTTTTTCTCTGAAATCATTCATTGATAAGATGAAAACCAATTAAACGAAGATGAATTGAAATTTATTGAATTTTTCATTTATAAAATCCCTAATTATCTCGATAATGAATATATTTACGAGAAAATGTCATCAATATTTTTTTCTGGGAAATTTTATTCTCTACAAAAAATGTCTTCTCACATTTTCCTCTAAAACCGCTCATTACCCGGATAATCAGGTTTTTGATAATATTATCGCGAGAGAAGACCATTTAGACGACGATTCACACTTGAAACGCAGACGAAGAATCAAGGTTACAGCGGGAAATGGGTCAAGGCTCAAGATTTACGAAGACGCGTGGCCTTCCCCTCTCGCCGCACTTGTCGGAGTCCCTTGACGCATCCGATCCTTGCGACCAGAACGTTTATCCCTGATATTAATTCTGTGGAACGCAATAAGTTCGATTCGAAATTTTATGCGATTGTGCATTTACGTCGTTAATGAGCGATTCTAAGAGGAAATGTGATAAGAAATTTTTCGTCGGAAATTCAATTCTCCGCAAAAAATGTTCTATGACATTTTCCCCTAAAATCCGTCATTAACGAGATAATTGAATTTATTCTGCGGGAAAAAGAAAAAAAAAACATGCATGCGTGAAATAAAACTTCAAACTAAAATTGAATTCGAATGGAGTGAAAAGAAAAGGGAAAAAAAGGTAATTATAGTCGACAGTTTCCTCGAAGTTTCAACGGTAGTTTGAACCCCCTAGACATAACATGCAACTCCGTTTTGAGAGTTTTTTCTGTCAAATCCATGAGTCACTGGCGTGTTTTATTGATCAATGGGCAGCCACTAGTCTCGTGTGGTCAGTTGTGGTCGATTAAATTCCGTGTGAGTCACGGTGAATTCACACCCAAGATCATGCTCCGAACGTTGTGGATGGTTCTTCACGATTTTCCCATTGCTCCGTACTTTTTCATCGAAGGGAAACAGTTGGGAGTGACGTAATGGGACACGTGTGGCTGGGAGCACGTAGACCCAGTGAAAGTCCTTTAAATTCGGAGGTTTCCTCACGTAGTCCAAGTCGTTCATGCGCATGGAATAGAATAGGAATAGAGCGGATAGGGCATTTTTCGAGATTGGAGGTCCATTTTTTGATAGGAAATTTTGTTTTTAATCCAACAGCGTTGATGAAATATTGAATTATCTCGTTAATGAGTCATTTCAGGAGCTAACGTCAAAGAATATTTTTTATAGAAAATTGAATTTCCTGCAAAAAAAATCTATTGACATTTTTTCGTAGAGCCACTCATTACCGAGATAATTCAATAATTGAGAAATTGTTTATTCAATTGATTTCGATGGAAATTTCTATTTGAATTCAACAGTGTTTATAAAAAATTGGATTATCTCGATAATGAGTGATTCTAGGAGAGAATGTCTAGAGACGATTCCCCCTGGACTCAACAGTTCTTGAGATAGTAGAGGAATAGTACTTGAAAATGTTTTCAAAATACGGAAAAGTGAGAACTAAACGTTCAACAGGAATTAAACAAATCATAGAACAATGAAATTGTCTCTGAAAATATTACACTCAGGTCTACGTCACTTGTAACCGCAGATGACCGGATTGACCCCGACGGTGTTATTTACGAAGTAATAAATTAATAGTGTGAGTGAGGAAAATTGTAGGAGAATTCTTTGAATCTAAAAGTTATTTCACACGTATGTTTCTATCTCACGAACGAATGGGTTCAGAAGAAAATGGGAAAAGACCTTTCTGTGGATGAGAAAATTTTTCACTAAAAATGTCTTGATATTTTCCCCTCAAACCACTCATTAACGAGATGATCCACTAATCAACAGAGAGGAATTAATCAACTTGATGCACAATTCATCACTTGGGCTTTGTTAATTACGTAATTATCTCGTTAATGAGTGACTCTAGGAAAAAATACTGAAAAACCTTCCAACCATTCTTTATTCCCGAATTAAAATTGACTATTTGATTTAATCTGATTCTTTCGTTTTTCAGGCAATGGTCGCTTGTTACCCAGGATATGGCTCTCATTACGTTAAACATGTGGACAATCCAAATCGTGATGGAAGATGTATCACAGCTATTTATTACCTCAATAAAGATTGGGATATAAAGGTGAATACTAGAAATAAAAAAAATGAGCTAATGAAAATAAAAGTGGAAGTGAAGAATGGAAAAACGAAAAATTGAGTAGAAAATTAATAAAATGTTGTGGGAATATGATTAAATTGTTTAGAAAAATGGAGGACTCTTGAGGATATTCCCAGAGGGCTGGAGGGATCAGGTCGCGGATATCCAGCCTCTCTTCGACAGACTCTTGTTCTTCTGGTCTGACAGGAGGAATCCTCACGAGGTCCAGCCAGCTTACAAAACGAGATATGCCATTACACTCTGGTATTTCGATGCTGAGGAGAGGACTCAAGCTTGCCGGAGATATCAGAGAGAACGTATGTACATTTTTTGATGATTCAAGGACATAAATGGAGATAATTATGGAGTAGATAGTAAAATTTGATGAGTTGAATTGAACATTTCCCTTTAAATTTTACAATTCCTTCCACATGAGTAGTTTTAGGTGAAAATGGCAGAGGACAATTTTTTCGAGAATTAAATTTTCTGTAAAAAGTCTCCTGTGAGATTTTCCCTTAAAACCATTCATTGAAGAGATAATTTCTTAAGTAATCAATTAAGAATTTTTTTTTCTCTTCTCTTTTAATTTTTTTTTTCTTCTTTTGTATGAAAAGTTGTATAAACTTATTTGTTTTTGAGCTAAATAAAATAATAATAATAATAATAAATGAGGACAAATGACTTTCTGTTAATCATCCACTTAATTATCTCATTAACGAGTAATTTTAGGCGATAATTCTATAATTAATAAAGAGAGATGAATCAACTCATCAATTTCATAATTTTATAGCAGAATAAAGCAACAATTACCTTTCAAAAATGACGAAAAATCATAAAAAAATTAAGAAAACCCTCATTCATACTAATTAATTAAACAATGTTTTTTTTTATTTTAGGGGAAGTGCCACCACGGTCATGAAATGCAGTATCACCTCGACCGAAAAATCATCATCTCATCCGCTCTTCCCTCCCCCCCTCTCATTTCCCTCACGTGAGGTAGGAACAGAAGATTTGTAAATAAATAATTAAGTAAACAGAGCACTGGTACATAAACGTCACGTATTAATTATGTATTGAAACGAAGACTCTGAGCAAAAAGTGCAATGTTGGATAAACAATGGAAATGCAATCCCACAGTGTTGATCACCGCTCTTCCTCGATTAACTAATCTTAGGGATTGAAAATGAGTGTTGGGCCAGTAGAATAATTTTTTTTCTTCACATTTTTAACGCAATTATTTCATTGTTGATGATGGACGAGAATTCATTGATAAATTGTGGCAGAGAATTGAAGGAATTTATTGATTAATCAACCAGACGTGTCGAATTTAAATTATCTCTTGTATTTTGTAGTTGTGGAGTAGAAAAGGAAATATTTTGCGAATAAATGGAACCGATGGATTGAAAAAATAGAAGAGAAAAACGATTTTTGATGGAAAAAGTTGAATAATTGACAATGACGAAAAAATTTATTTTCGAAGTCGCGAATATCTCCGGAATCGTTGGGTCTAGGGGAAAATGTCAGGAGACACTTTTTGCTGGAAATTTAATTCTCTACGAAAAAGGTGTTTTGATGTTTTTCGATAAAACCAGTGGTTATCGGGATATTTGCGAAATGAGCTGGACGAAATTTTGCGAATTCGTTTTTTCTGCATATTTGGTTTATTTAATTACAAGATAATTGCTTAGACTGCACGTTTTGTGTCCCAATGATAAACAACTTGTCGATTAGTCATCGAGAGCCACAGACTGATGTGAATCGAGTGTTGGAACGATAGCTTTTCATTTTGTACAGTGAAAAATATTAAAATGATCTAAAGATGATGGGAAAATCAAATTTACCTCACTAATGATTATTGTACGAATACTTTTGTATTTTCAGCACTATAATTTTCCTCTCACCTCTCACGCAATTTTTCAGGCTGAAAGTATCTCAGTATCGAGTTCAATACGAATGTTTAAATTATTGATTAAGAATAAGTTTTTCGCTGATTTTTTCAAATTTAATTTGTGAAAAATCAGATATTATATTATTAATTAACTCAATTAATTATAAATAATGTTGTTAATTACTTAAGTTATGGAAGGAAGTTATGCCTCATCAGAGTATTGTAAAACTGAACATAGAAAAGATTTTATTACGAGCGATTGAATAAATACTGTACAGAGAACATTACTTACACTTTTTTTATTTCACTTTTGGGTAATTATCTCCGTAATTAGTGAATTTAGGTGGAAATTTCAAAGAACATTTTTTGTAGAGAATTCAATTTCCGACAAAAAAGTTTTTCTGAGAATTTTTCATAAACTCGCTAATTAACGAGATAAATGGATAATCAAGAAACAGTTCATTATTGATTCAGTGTTTAATCACTTTAGTATAAAAATAATCATCGATTATTGCCGAATGGATTAGTTCACATATCTTCGGTATCATTCGGAAGCTCGCAGTCTTCGACTTCATCGGTCCCTGGTCTGTACACTTTGAACGAGAAATTATTCCTGGGGAATGTCCCCGGATTCAGTACTTGACAGTCATCGACTTTTGTGGTGTATTGTTGGGAATGATCAGCTACGATGATCAGGTCGGGTGTTGGAAACAGCTGGAGTGCATGGTCGTGCCTCCAGTATACTGGAACCACTGGGAGACTCATCGGGGCCAGGTGGGACTGAGAAATCATCGTTTTCGCGTACTGAAATCAATGCAAAAAAATTGTTCTTTACAGTCAAAAATTCGAGATAACATTCGAAAGATAATACACCCGGGCCTTAAAACCAATTAATCAACGATTAATGAAGTTCTAATTTGAACCTCGCTGAAAGCGACTTTTCCTGAAACATAAATTTCCTCAAAAAACTCACGTGATCGTAGAAATTCCCCTGCTCCGGATACTTCAGAGTGTTTCTGCACATTTTGGCGATCATGTCCTCCCTGAAAACCACAATTTCCTTCGTGCAGTACTGAATCCTGCAGGGGTTCCCAGCCAGAACAGCCGCAGGGACCTTCCTCCTGAAGTCCTCCAGGATTTTCCTGGGGAGAGGACCTCGTGGAAGGATTTTGGCGGCCCCCAGGTCCTGGGGTCCAGGAACAAAAACAAATTTCGACGTGTTTTTTATCTCCTCATAGCTCTCGATGAGTTCTGCCAGATGTCTGAAGCCCTCCTGCAGCTTTTTCCCACTGGAGACGTTCGGAGGGCACGAGAGGAAGTGCCCGCAGATGATGAAGGCAATGGGGGGATCGTCTGAGTAGCCCTCGAGGATGACCCTGAATTTTTCGAGGACCTCTGCGTTGTCCAGCCACAGTTCCGAGATTATGACGATCATGTCTGTGTGGTGGGCTTCCTGGTGCCTCTGGAGCTTCTCGGAGCACTTGAGAGAGGTCTTATGGGGCCCTCCGAAGGTGTTCTCAGTGCCGAAGGAGGCCCTCAAGTCCGCCGAGGGCTCAGTCGGGGGCAGGTGGATCCTCTTGACCTCCAGGACGCCGTCCTCGTAGTAGCCATGGGCTATCACTATGCAGCCCTCTGTTATCAAACCTTCGTCGAAGACTTAAGGTTTAGTTGTTAAGGATTTCTTTTCTTATTGAAGGAAAACATTGAACTTCTTGCAAGAACATTTCTTGATATTAACAAGAGCGTAATTAACAAAGCTCAAGTGATGAATTGTGCATCAAGTTGATTAATTTCTCTCTGTTGATTAGAGAATCGTCTCGTTAATGAGTGGTTTTGGGGGAAAATATCAAGACATTTTTAGTGAAAATTTTTTCGTCCACAGAAAGGTCTTTTCACATCCATTCTGTCATCAAATCTTCATCGAAGACTTGATGGTTTATTTCTTAAGGATTTTTTTTGTGGATGGAGGAGAGAATTAAATTTTTTACAAGAACGTCTCTTGACATTGCGCCCTAGAATCACTCATTAACGAGATAATTACGTAATTAACAAAGCACAAGTGATGAATTGTGCATCAAGTTGATTAATTCCTCTCTGTTGATTAGTGGATCATCTCGTTAATGAGTGATTTTAGGGGAAAATATCAAGACATTTTTAGTGAAAAATTTTCTCATCCACAGAAAGGTCTTTTCCCATTT